GAGATATCGTCGATGTAGGATAGCTGGAATCCATCTATTTGGTAGAACAGATCTCTAATATAGATGAGAAAGAAGATTGGAGAGACTGGGCTGCCTTGTGGGATGCCCGCGTTAATCTCGCTGAACTCTTCTATTTGGCCGTCAAAATATATCGGCGAGGTTGTTTCTGAGAGTACATGGGATCTTGTTTCAGATCTGAGCTTCGGCGATATACTGACAGGAAATGGAAGAAGTCAGAAATTCAATGTCTACAAATTCCGGATATGCTCTGCTTCTGATCACTAACTTGGATCTAGTCATGTTCGATTATTTTGTCAACAACACGAACACGGTCATAGCATTATATGGTTTATACGACTACCTCTTCCCTATTGTGCACAGACGGGATTCCATCTGAGCGACAATGAACTGATTCAAAACTCCTCCATCTTGTTGTCAGTAATCTAATATCTCACCAGCGAGTGATGGTTAACTGATTGAAGCCTCGCTGATTATGGAACGTCGGCCATGACGATGACTGGTGCATTTTATCAGCTTCTCCGTAACCCACAATATATAGCTGCTGTACAGTCAGAACTCCGAAACGCCTTTCCCAACCAAGAGTCCATCACTGCGGATGGCCTCGCAAAGCTCCGCTACCTCCCAAGTGTAATTTATGAGACGCTTAGGTTGATGCCGCCGATCAATACCCGCTTTGCCGACCGAACATGTCCTGGAATAGAGATCAACGACATGTACATTCCAAAAGGCACGACAGTCTCCGCCTACGTCTTCTCCATGCAAAGGATGCTCGAGTATTGGGCCGAACCATTGTCCTTCAGGCCCGAGCGATGGTTTGACAATGGACTGGGTACCCTGTTTGAACATGACAACAGGGAAGCTTACAAGCCCTTTCTTTCGGGAACTAGAGGCTGCATCGGAAAGGAAATGGCATACCAGACACTCTGCATTTCTCTTGGACATATTCTCTATCGTTATGATTATACAATGGTCAACACTTCTCTTGATTGGGACAGAGATGTCCCTTCTGCGGTGTCTTTCCAGAATTTCAAATGTGTTCAGGTGAACGTTCACCCACGGAAGTCATCATCACTCAGCAAAGTTTTGAGTGAAAGTAGGATAGTGCGCTATTAGAGTAAGGAGAACTATATATCTTTTAGTAACACGAATAACATTTTTTTTTCGCGTAAACAATCGTTTCCCAAATGTATAGTAGGCTCATCATTTGACTTTGGGGTGAGGCAAACTCTGCTGCGGCACAGTATTGCAAGTCTTAAATTGACTTGATCAGGTGATATATGATTTGGAACGCACGATATGCTGCTATATGCTGCAAATGAGATGATATGTGCCGAGCAACCATTGTATCTACTCTTGTACAAATCACCTTCTAATGGATGGTGTGTGCCAATCACTCCACAAGTGGACATTGTGAGACATTGACAGTACTTCAAATCTTGTATATCGACCGAAACACAGTATTCAGACAATTCACCAATATAGATGTAGAGTTTTTGGCGCATTGTGCATATTTATATTGAGGGCAGTGCATACACAACATCTAGTGCTAGATTCACTATGTTGCACTCAGGAACTATAAAACTCACATATTGTATTTCTTCGAAGAAACGCACCAAAAATTTGGATCATCGATACATCAGAAACCCACAAGATAAATTTAAAGACTACGACAATCCAGGGATATCCACCATGGTAGCCATGAACCTTTGCCAAACCATGGTCTTGTTCGAGATCGAAAGGGGCGTAGATGGCCTGTCAATGGATTCTCAGAGCACCGATAGACATGACAGCTTCCAAAAAGAAGACATCCACTTGGACTTCTTTGCAGAGGGCAACATCTACGGGCCAGATGGGGGATACTACCATGACGGCGAGAAAATTGCCGAACTCAAAGCTAAGATCATGCATCTGTTAGCCAACCTATTCCCTCCCACAGAGATTAAGCGGCCCATTATTCGACGTCTTGGACAAGGCTCATATAACATGGTCATTGGGGTATCTGTGACGCCCAGGATTCACGCACAGAAGAACGATTCAACCTACAGTCCCCGAATCATAAGACTGCTTGGTTCACCGCCCAAGCCGATAACCTTCGCGTTAAGGATTCCGGTGGAGTCGTGGTTTGACTTGAACGGTCCATCGGGAAGCCTCATAAGGAGCGATATACACCAAGATGTAGCAACTCTTTGTGTTCTAGGTCAGCGCCTCGCGGTGCCTATTCCTACTATCAAAGAGTTCGACGTCACAGATATCAACGCCCTCCGTCGGCCATACATGCTGCAGAGCTTCGTGCCAGGTGAAAGCCTTATGAGGGTGTGGCATGAATTGAACCTTGATCAAAAGGCGTCAGCGGTTCGCCAACTGACTCGCATCGTAGAGACCATCGCGTCCATCACCTCCCCAGCAGCCGGTCAAATTTCCTTCGACAACATCACTTCGCCCAGCTCAGAGATCAAGCTGGATCAAATCCTCATTCCCACTAAGGAATGCACGTATAACAAACCGAACCTCAACACCGTTGAGAAACGTGAGGCGCCGCACCAGACGCCATGCCAATTCCTGATCGACTGCTGCAACCGCTGGATGAGGTACGAATCCCTGATCGGCCCAACCGATGGCTTCAAAGAGTCACTCTGGTTCAGCATCATCGAGATCATTCACGTAATCGACGATATGGGCTGGCTCGGCGACCGCTTCCACCTGATGCACGGCGACCTTTTCGCGCGCAACGTCATGGTGGAAGTCAACAGCCGCACATCGGTCAAGATCACTGGCATCGTCGACTGGGACATGGCATGTTTCGTACCAAAGATCATTGCGCTCCGGAGCCCGTTCTGGGCTTGGAAGGGCACTCATCACGATGAGGCTGATGAGAACAAGGTGGCGAAGGTGCCTTCTGATCAGTTAGGTAAGGCGCTGAAGGCTGCGTTCCTGAGTACGGCGTCGCAGGAGTACGTCAATATGGCGTTAGGGGATGAGGGTGTGATCGCACGGAAGTTGTATAATGTGGTTACAGGTGGATTGATGATGTCTAGACAGCGAGCAATGGCTGCAGGACTGATTCAACATTGGAATGTGATCTGTCCTAAGGAGTATCCCTCTGGAGTTAGGAAATCGAAGGGCGTGCTTTGAGAACGTCAAGGTTTCTTTTTCGTCTAGCATTTTATAAGTGTTTTTTTATTTATTTTTGAGCAGATATTTTGGAAAAATGAATACGTAAGGAAAATGGTTGTTACAAAGTGTGCGGCTCTGTTCTTGGCGTGAAGCCAGCCTCGCGATCCTCGCCCCGCGGAGATCATTGCTCACCTTCTGACATGGCGCCCAAAGGTCACTTTTCATGCGGCCGTCGTCATGGAGAGATCCTCCGCTCCAGTTGTGACATACGTATACCACACAAGTTGATAGGACAGAAATAACAGGAAAATGGATCAACCAATCAATGCGCTACATGTAGATTATGGCGAATTCAGCCTTACTCCGCCACAAACGGGCAGTGCTTCTGCCTGGATCCGCTGCGCTGGCACAACAGTAGCAGTCTAAGAGAGAAACTATACCTAACATTTATCAGTAACTATAAATTTTCGTGTTTTGTCGCATTCCACATTTGCAAAGATTTCTTTATCTATGATTGTCTTCACCAGCCCTGATTTACTCCATGTCAGCACCGCTAGTAGACCTTCCATCACAACCAGAGAGAGCCCGCGTTAAGCACTCAGGAACAATCGCGGCGGAAGCAACTGGGTTTCAATCTGTTAAAGATAATGGATTGAAGAAATCTAAGGAAAGAAGAAGGCAATAGGCTATGCAAGAAGGTTTACAAAAGCCGTCTTTATCAAAGACATCCGACCGGCCCAGAGATCCCATCTTTGCTTACTTTGAGAAGGAAACTGAGAAGAGACACGATGCGAGCTTTGTATTCTTGCTATGGGGTTCGGAGAACTCTGAAAGCTTCAAAACCTGGGCTGTGGATGTTCCAGTTCCCGACGATGCATATGAGGATGAAATCTTCGAAGCATTAAGAAAGAAGTATTACAAAGAACTTGGGTTCTCAGGAATTCTCAATGTGTTCCAAAGATTTAAGAGACTCAAGCCCGTTACTGTATGTCTCTAACGTCTTATAGTGTGTCTACTCGTGCTAAAGTTACATAGATATAGTTTCGGTTCATCTGCCGTGACTCAAAAAGGTTTTTAGCCTTTGTGGAACCTGTAGACCTGGACAGCTTGCACAAGAGATACTCCGAGAAACTGGAAGAAGCGTGGAAATCTGCCAAATTAATAACATTCTTTGATATGCCCGATGATCCTCCAGATTGCTGCTCTCGCGACAGCTCTGGGGAATATAATCACGGCAACCCAGATTGTCCAACAAACCGCTATCTGGAGGACCCTGATTATACAACCTGTCCTTTCAAGGAAATAGATAGATGAAGTGATCAGATACATTAGATTAAAACCGCGCCTTTCCTTTCTTGTTACTTTCGAAATCCAGCCACTGCAAAGTCTCAAAATATACTCGATGGTTCCAGTAACTATGGATTCACCTATCGCTATAGGTAAGTATTAAATGAATCTGCCATGCGATTCCACTAATATATTTCACCATGAACATCAACTTCCCAGTCCACGAATTCGGATATCAGAATAGATATCTAGAACTAACTGGCTTATACGTTGAGACTGCGTGGTGCCCTGTGAAATCCGGCACTGCATTTCTAAGTATCCTCCTCCCTTCCATAGTAATTGGAGGAAGATTTTTCTGGGGCAGTTGGGAGGTAGCATTTGGCGCTGGAAGCTTCATCATCGCTTTGCCGATGTTGGCATTGGCAGTACTTAATCGCTATGATGCCTGATAGGTAGAAAAAAGCGACTAGTAACGCAGTAGTGTACGACTTGTATATGCTGTCAACGCATCCCCGTAGCAAAGCGGTGATGTCCAACCTCGCCAAATAACATGTCGAAAAAGGTTCAGAAGGGAAATAAGACAGTTGTTCAACAAAAGAGGCGCTTGAATCATATTGGCGTCCACGACACACTTGATGTACTCTCCATCTCACTACACTGACGCGTGCTACTTCACTGTGGTTGCAGACATATGTCTTGAGCCTAGAATAACACCAGTGCGTTCATTCACGTGACACGGCTGTAGCAGACTTGACATGACGATACGAATTTCCTGTTATGGAGCGATCGCCAAGTAGGTTATTCGCGGGAGCGGAACGAACGCACCAAGGTTGCGGGCGTTTGGCTCCAGAGCAAGTCCCCTAACTACAGCGCTCTAGTGACACGTCGCATCGTCTCAAATTTGAGGCCGTTGAAGTACAATACATCTCATGTAAGTTGGCCAGACCCATGCGCCAGGTCTAGACAGCCTTTGGAGATTACAAGACTCCGTTCGATCGGTGCATGAAGCGAAGGTGTGGAAATTTGATCTAAAGACGTCTTTGACCCCATAATAACACCCCAACAACGAGGCTGCATACTATAATAGAATACTTTTTGAAGTTCCTGCAGCAACACACCAAGTGCGCAGGGAATAGCCTGGTAGTTTCTTTGATCAAGTATCCGCATCAGGAATGGCGTTTCGGGTCCGATCAGGAGTCAAGCCAAGGCACGCCCTTGCTCTGCGCTGCTTTGTTTGCGCACGCGTGCCGGCTGGCAGCAGCACTGCCTCTGTGCTGTGCTCACTAACTGCTGCAAACATGCCTGTGAGGCGTAGCCATGGCCACCATGATATACTCATATCTCGTCGTTCTCGACATCACTGTAACTCGACGATCCAAAATCCCAAAGTCTAGCAATGGCATCGATACTTTTACCTCGTGTGGGTGATTGCCCGGCAGGCGGTGTCTACTACGTGTGTAATGGATTTCGTGGTTGCTGCACCATGGATCCTTGCATGCCAGGTAGTACTTGTCCAGCGGATCAGGACCTCACTCCAGGCCGATGCAAGTGGATGTGCTGTTGATTTGGGAGTTTCAACTGACATGGCATAGCTTCGAATGATATCTCGAGCACTATCGCTAGCCCATCCAAGACCACGGTTTCTTCAATCACAAAACCGACTCCATCTTCCTCGATGACCCCAATTACGGGAACAGCTTCATCAGTTACCGCGAGTCCATCATATGAATCGAGATTTACTGTCAGCCTTGCGGAGCCACCATACCGGACAGTTACAGAGCAAGTGACAGGGACGTTTACTGCAGCACCATCAATGCCAAGTCGTGGGAGTTCAGTGCCAGTAGCAGCAATTGTTGGCGCAGTTCTCGGTTCCGTCATCCTCTGCACTCTCTTGCTAGCCATCTTGTTTTTTATTCGCAAACGTAAACTTACAAAAGTGTACAAAGCGCCAGCATATCCCTCGCCATATGTTGGCGGTGACATGACACCACAGCTCTCGAGTATGTTATCCCACGTCGCAATGTCAGGTACCAAAGAATCTAATAGTTTTCCAGGCAAAGCATCGTCACAATTTCAAAAGAAGGTGGCGGAGTTATACAGAGCTGATACGATGGAAACACGCGAACCCCCACAACTGGACAGTCGAGAGATTCTACCCCAGTTTCGCCGACGTGACTCGATGGGACGATTTGCAGAACTTCCAGCGGAGCCGCTGCCGTGGCCTGGTCACTCCGCGAATTGATAGAGCGTTTTACCTTTTGGACTATTTTATAAAATGAGGCGGATGCAATGATGTTGATCACGGACGAACTGCAGTTGAGAAAGCAGAGTATACCCCAGAAAGGCACTGTAATGACCTGTACACTAGATATGTAGCAAGAGATGAAAATGGAAAGATGGGTATGATCATATGATTTTTCGGGCAGTCATATAAACAGCACACGTGCGTAGGTACCGTAGTCAGCATGTTAGGTAAGATAGAAGAGATGCAACCCCTCATTCACCACTGCCGCCGTACACGTATCCGACATGAATGAAAAATGTCGTGAACACGTTAAGAAGAGAAATGCCATACGTAGAATGAATCGGACCGAAAGAAAAGATGAGAAGATGCAAAATTCCATGGAAGATAGTGGGTTGTTCGCTGGGGGTTGGCAGATTTGACGTGGTGCAAGGCCAATCATGGAATAGTATTGCGGACCCCACTGACGTCACGCTTGGGCCGCTACGCTACGTACGCGTGAAAGGCGTTGCTGCAAATGGATCAGTCGCAGCAATCCTGAACTTGCGCCAACATTTGCCCGTTTCATTTCCAACAAAGAACTTGCCTCATCTAATTCCGAATCCATTGTCGCCATGTCTGACGAAGGTGCTCCGTCTGCTGCTACTGCGGAAAAAGCAGCGCCGCCTTCAATACCCCGCTATTTCCGGAACGATGCACCGCTCGCGCGACGAGACCCTCACAAACAGCTACTAGCGTCTTTGGACCGGCTGATCACCGACTACCCTCCGCACCACATCCCCCCAGGCGGAGGCTTGTACTATGGTCCCATCTCGGTTGCCTTCCTCTTCTATGCCTTGCACGACCTCTACCCGGACTTGAAACTGGACGGCTATCCCTTGAATACTTGGTCGGCAGCCTACATTGAACAGGCCCAGACTCACATCAAGGAATTCCCGCCACCATCTCCCAAGAAATGCGGCGTCTCAAACGACATCATGTCGCTTCTTGCGCTGTACGCCATTACAGCAAAAGACCCAGACACTGTCAAGGAACTCTGTGATCACGCGGCAGTCATGCTTGAGGACGGTACTTCCAACGAGTGGCTCTATGGCCGTGCAGGCTACCTGTACCTTCTCCGACTGGTCCGCAAGGCCTTTACCGACAACAAGGAAATCACCGAACTCATCGAGGACACCGCGGATGAAATTATCGAAAACATCATGGATAGCCCGCGTCCTTGGAAATGGCACGGCAAGGCGTACGTTGGTGCTGTTCACGGGGCCATCGGCATCATTACACAGATTGTCCTCACTGATCCTGCATGGGCACCCAAACTGGATGCCGAGCTAGGCGCCTTGCTGAGTTATCAGTACGAAAGTGGAAACTTTCCGTCATCGCTGCCACCGGGGCGCGATAGGCTCGTACAAGTTTGCCATGGAGCGCCTGGTGTCGTTACTTCGCTTCTCTCAATCCGAAAATATTTCCCTGGACTGCATGACCGGATTGACAGGGTCGTTGCCAAGGCGAGAGAATGCATCTGGGAACGAGGTCTTCTAACAAAGGAGCCTTGTATCTGCCACGGCATCACAGGAAATGCTCTTGCGTTGGATGGCAAACAGTTTGAACACTTTATGACTTATACCACCGGCCACGAAATCAAGTCCATGGCAAAAGACGGCATGCTTGAGAAGTCTGATGATCCATCAGCCCTATGGTGTGGTGAAGCTGGTCGTGCTTGGGCTTGGGCGGTTGCGGACATGAACCTGGATAAGCGGCTGCTTGGTTACAACGATATTTAAGGCTGTGCTATGGTTGCGCCGAAACCGCATTCGGTACGCTTTTAACGAATTTCATGACGCTCATCCAAATCAGACGACTCATTTTTTCCATCACGGTATTTTTCCTAGTCAAGGCATCTTTCCATGCGCTCATGTACGGGTGGTCTCTTTTCTCGGCATCTCATAGTTGTACGACGGACCTTTTGAGCATATTTTGATGGAGATCAGATACCATAAATATAGTATACCTGTTCTTTTTCATGTCCCAGTCGTGAAGATCAATGGAAGCGAATCAATGCCTCACCAGGTAAGAACAGCACGGCAATGAAAAACAAACGCCGGAGACTGAAGATAGAAGCCCCCACAACAGTATCTGATTGCTCCTATTACGAGCACATGTTCTCTACCAGACACGTCGCTACAACCAAATCATCTTACTAGGAATACTTCCAAATCCCTTGTACAACACCAACTCTAGCAGTCTTCTCTCATGACGCACCCCTCATTTTCTTCCTCTAAGCCAACGAATTCCCGACTACGACAAATTCCAACAAGACTCTAACCTCAAAACATTCAACAAAATCAAATGGCCGCCCCCGTCCCCATCCAACAGCCAAAAAAACGCCTTAGTCCGCGTATCCCTCAACCCACCCCCCATCCCAAGTTCCACAACCTCTCCCCTGAAAAAAAGCCCCCTTGTACCACATACACCCGTATCACCACATTTAACGGGAACCACCCACCAAGAAAAGCACCAAGCAACAGTCCTAACCCACCATCGCCAAACCTACTAACCCCCCCCTTCCCTACCCTTCCTTCCACCAACGCCTCAGCGCTTGCGTATTTCTTTTCGGTCGTTTTCGCGTTGCAATCGGAATAGCACTGCTGTACGTTTGCACTTCTTGACGCTTGCGCTTCGCTGATACCCGGACGGCGCGGATACGAACGCCTTTTGAAAGGTGCGTGGAGAGATCGTTACGGAGAGAGTTGGTGTGGGTGGCAGAGGGTAAGTGGTATGTCTGCTCTGTTTGGCGAAAGGCGATTGTAGGAGGAGGAGGAGGAGGAGGAGAAGGAGGAGGAGGAAAGCCATAGCGGCTGGCGCGTTTGCGTTCGATGTAGTGATGGGATGGGGTGGCGCGGGGGCGTTGGCTTGATGGTAAGGATGGTTGTGTGGGGGGAGTTGGACGTGGGTCTGTCTAGAGGACATTTACTACTGGGTTGGTGGTGGTGGTGGTGTCTACACGTCACGGGCTTTCAAACTGCTTGTCTACGCCACGTAGTGAGTTAGTCAGGGGTACTAACGTGCTGATTCTGTATTTCACGGATATGGGTTGGGGGTTATGAATAGCTGTGTATCCGCGCTGACTTATCTCCAGTTGATAACACACACACGACTCTCTACGGTTCTTTCTTGATTACGATGCGTGGATTTTGGATCTTACGACTTTTGCTTTTGGTGCTTGGTTCGAGCATGGCGTGTACGGCGCTGGTGGATGAGGGGGGCTATGTGAGACGGCAGTCTGAGATGAATGTAGTCACTGGTGCTACTTCACGGGATGATAACGGTAATGACATGTGGATGTCTATGGAGAGTGGCATACTGACAGAACCTAGGAAATGTCTATATACGCCGCGAGATCAGGGACTTGATGGAAAACTACCCCGATCAATGGAGTCTGTACATTTTGGCATTGGATAGTCTGCATCGTGCTGGTCAGAGCGATTCGTTTTCTTTCTACGGTCTGGCGTGTAGGTATGATTGTTGCGGTATGGGGACCCAAGGCTGACCTTTTGTTGTAGCCATTCACGGAAGACCATACAAGACATGGGGAGACGTGTCTGGGTTACCAGAGAAGATTGGCAAGGTAGGTTACTGTCCGCACGATAACGAGTTATTCTTGGGATGGCATCGACCGTATCTCGCTCTGTTCGAGGTGAGTCTCTTATCTTTTAGTCTCTTTACAAGGTGTACCAGCAGATGGACGCTGACTGTGCATAGCAAGTCGTTTCCAACCACGTCCACGACATCGCTGCAAACGCGCCAGCATATCAATCTCAACGCTACCTCACTGCCGCCCGTGAGTTCCGGATCCCATACTGGGACTGGGCTCAAGGCACCAAACTCGGCCCAGTTCCTGACGTGTTTTTATCCCCTACAATCACAATCACAGATCTAAGGGGTGAACTGCTAGTAATGGACAACCCATTATTCTCATACAAATTCCACCCTCTACCCACCGGCTTCCACGGCAAAGTACGTTTACACCCTCCATACAAATTGAAAACTAACAGTAAGACAGTGGCGCAAGATAAACTCAACCATCCGCTGGCCCGCCTCAGACGACCCCTTCTCGCCCTCGCAGCCCCAACTCTTCGCTTCAGCCTTTAAAAACCAATCCAACAACCTCATCGCTCAAGTGGACATCGCCTTCCGCTCAAGCACCTTCTCGCGCTTCTCCTCTGCCCTCGAAGACGCCCACGGCTGGATCCACGGCGTCATCGGAGGGGGCTATCTACGCGACTCACCGTACTGGGGCCACATGTGGCCATTGGAATATTCAGCGTTTGACCCATTATTCACATTGCATCATGCGTGCGTCTCTCCCTTCTCCGAAAAAAACCCCCCTTCCCTACATGAAACCCCCATACTTCAAGCGGAAAAAAGACATGGCTAATTGGGGACAAGAGAGCAGAAACGTCGACCGCCTCTTCACGCTCTACACCCTCTCCCACCCCGCCACCGTAATGCTCCCCTCAAACATCTCCACAAACTCCAACCTTTTCCTCCCAGACAACGCACTCATCGACGCATCCACCCCGCTCCTGCCCTTCCGCCGCACCCCAGACAGCTTCTGGACCACGCACGAGTGCCGCGACACTGCCGTGCTAGGCTACGCGTACCCGGAGACGCAACGCTGGAAGTTTGCTTCGGACGAGTCGTTCGCTGCGCATGTGGAAGCCGTGGTGGCGAAATTGTATGCGGGGAGGGTGCGCGAGATGGCGGTTGCGCCGGTTGTGGTGCAGCAGAGTAGTTTGTTTGGGGGGTTGTTGGAGAGGAGTGGGGGTGTGTATACGGATTGGGTTGTTGAAACGAGGGTGAGAGGGAGGATGGGGAGGGGCACGTTCCGGGTGCAGTTTGAGCTGGGGGAGAGGGATGTCGGGAGCTGGATGGTGCTTATGCCTGGTGTGCGGCGGGATGAGGTTGAGAGAGGGGAGGGGAAGGAGATGGTGGGGACGACGAGTTTGACGGGGGTGCTGGTTGAGTGTGTGAATAATGGGACGTTGCGGGGGTTGAATGAGGAGATTGTGGTGCCGTTTCTTGAGCGGGCGTTGAGGTGGTGGGTGTTGGACGTGAGTTTCTCCCCTTCTCTTTCTTTATTTCAGGTGGTGGAGGTTGTGCTGATACGAGTAGGATGCTGGTAAGGGAATCACGAAGCTGAAAGATGGAGCGGTGAATGTCACGTTGGTTGGTACGGAGGCAAGGGTGCCGGTGGATAAAGGCAAGCCAATTGAGTATACGGAGATTGTGCGTAGCTACCCGGGGATTATAAGGGAGAAGGTAGATGTGCGCTGAGGGTTTCTGCTGCTGGCGTAAAAGGTGTCATTGGAGGATAAACATTGCCAGTTATCCGCACTGCAAATTCATTACTGTTCAATTATCATGTTTCCAAACCAGGAGTAAGTCGGACTGATGGTTCATGTATGACTGGGAAGTAAAATGGTTAATTCCAGGTGATATCAGACTGCAGTTAGTGCAGAATCATCTGAACACGAGTACTTTGCAAGTGGGCAAAGAAAGCACGTGATTGGTATCTATTTGAGATTTGGAAGGCCAAGGTGGATACTTGGATGGTACGCAGATATGTACATGAGTGGCTGCGCCCTGTCTCGGTTTGTCAATCTTGGCCAAGGGGCTGCCAGTGCGTAGACAAGTACATGACATGGACCGGTGATAAGTGGGGAAACGAGTTATACGAGCAAGGAGGCTGTTCTGAATTTGGTGGCGTCAAAACATGTGAGTAATCCAATGGCTGCGCAACTATTTTCAGATAAGTCCCTTGGTGTTGGGAGGATGGTGTTGGTACATGTGAAGTGGAGGCCGTCAATGGGCCCGTTTTTATGCTGTAGTCATCATGTTTTGGTCGTTGCTCGCCTAGATTTTGAGTGGCAGGGTCAACCATGCGCGAGGCCAAGAGCATGTTTGAAGGTCGCTTTGGTAATCGTTAGTGGGTACAAGGTGTTTGTTTGGTTGGTCGTGGCAGTCGATTAGTCGGAGCATTATCGAAGTCGATCCTCTGTCCGAGAAGTCAGCTTCAGGTGCCCATAACGGTGTTCTTGATCTTTTCCAACTCACGCATCTTGTTCAGTTCATCGAGAATTAGCTGCAGCTCGTCCTCGTCCATCTTAAGGGAAGGGATGAGGGTAGTGGCTTCCTCGGCGGTATCGGGGGTAAGGGTTCCTAGCGGGGCTGTCAGCAGCTCCCCATCAACGGCTTTGATCTAGACATTTCCTTACCCAGCAGTGCCTTTTCGACGACGGAGATTTCGGGGTGAGCGTCAAAGAGGGCGGCGATGGAGTGCAGGCTGTCTTCTTCCTTGTAGCGGGCAAAGTTGTCGAGGTAGTCGAGGAACTGGGTGATTGTGCTGGTGCAGGGTCAGTCGTGGTGACTGTATGGCATGAAGCTTAGACTCACATGCTATCGTTGTAGATGCGGTCGCGCAGCGGGTTGTTCTCGGGGTCCTTCTTCTTGCGCGCCTCGTGAACGGCGGTGACGACGGCGCGGGCCTCTGAGACGGAGAGGGCATGGACGTCTTCGAAGTCGCCGAGCTTGATCTCGGAGCCCATTTCTTCCTCTTGCTGAACTGGTGGCTTGGGGCGCGAGACGAGCCTGGGTGCTTTGAAGACGGGCGGCTCGGGCCTCTGGGGGGCGTTGTGCTCGCCGTCTCCTTCCATGGTGGTGGTGGTGGTGGTGGTGATGGGGGTTGTTGTTGTTGTTGCGATGGGAGGGAGTCGGGGGAGGGCGGTGGTGTTAGCGGTGAAGGCAGGGCGGTGGTAGCAGTGCCAAAGGTCAAAGAGGTGTGAGCGAGTCGCGTTGGTGTTTAGCGGGCTTGTGCCAAGGCGTGAATTTGGGACTAGGCCATGGCATGCTCGGGCGTATTGTCACGGCCTTCCCCGCCCTGCGCGCTGCTGGTTCGCCTGCAGAGGCGCAGAACAGGCTTGCAGTGCGCCATGTGCCAGGAATAGCCTGCCCTGGCCCCCCGGTTCGACCCTCGACAATGACGCTTGCCATCCTTTTGGCTGTGGGGTGCGTGTGTACGTAAGTATGTGTATGTGTGCATATGTGAATGTGTGTGAGTGTGTGCAGACGACACAAGTCGCAATAACACAGCTCGTATCACGGGCGTAGACGCATGTACCTATACGTGCATATAGCCTATATTAATAGCGGCGCACTTGCACAGATACTTACATAGACTTACATAGCCGTACATAGCGATACTGTGCCCCTCGAGAGCCCTCGAAACCCTCTGGCGCCGGTGCTGCTGCCGGCGTGGATCCCAATATCCCAATCAAGCCGGGCCCCAATCAGGCTAGCGTCCCCTCTCTCCACGGCCGCCATGCCTCTCCTCTCTCGCTCGACAAGCTCTCTGGCGGCCTCAGCGACAACAGGAACGTCCACCCGCTCCAACGACACCACCACCACCACCCCCTCCCATCCTGCCACCCACTCCCTTCCTCTCCTCCTCCTCCTCCTCCAACACCATCACCACCATTGCCCCGTCTGCAGCCTCACATCTGCCTGCGCTCGTCTGCCTGCTTCCATCGCCCGCCCGCCCTGCCTACATACTGCGTTTCACCCAATCGCTCAGGGTCTTGGGTCCTCCTCTACACAACCACCCCCGGCCAACCTAATCCCACCGCACGCCGCCTCCCTCCCATCCCGCTGCGGCCGCATGTCGCCGTCCACCTCTCCGCCACGCCCATTGTACATAATCTCCTCCCGACTGCCACGCCCTGCCCGTTGCTAGACGCTGCGCATCCCACGATCCACCCGCCCGACTGCCCTCCAGCGCCGCCCTGCTGCCGTCAGTCACCTGCCCTCCCAGCCCACAATCACCGCCTCGCACTCCCCACACCCCATATACCCCCCCCCACCTCTCACGCACTCTCGTCGCCCACTGCACTCGTCGCGACACGTGCCGTCGTCGTCCAAGCCCCTGACCGTCACCGCCTCCAACTCACCCACCCCCTTTGACCCCTCGGCTCCTGCCAAGATCTCGTCTCCCTCCCGACGCTGCATACTGCCCATCCTCGAAACTGGCGTAACCGGACATGGGCACACCAGCGGAGGGACCGCCTCCGATGGACAACCAGGGCGCCCACCACCAGCACAACAATGATCCCCACTCCAACGGCCTCATGCGCCGCGCCACAGACGACGGCGCCTCGTCGTCCACCTCGCTCGCGCCCCACGGCATGGGCTATCCCTTGCGCTCTGCCACCGACCCCGGCGACCAGAACCAGCCCGTCTCCAAACCCAAGCGCAGCGGCAAGATTTGTGGAAAGTGCGGAGAAGGCCTGACCGGCCAATTTGTGCGAGCCTTGGGCGACACTTACCACCTCGAATGCTTCACCTGTCATGTAAGACGCCCGTTTCGTTTTGTTTCCCCCTCCCAAATCAACAGCGCATTACGTAGTCGGCGTCATGCTACCTAACCGTGGACTCGCCCGTCTCGCATACTCACAACCACTATCCACAACTCACTCCCCCCAACGCATTGACTGACCGTCCCCGCAGGACTGCAACAAGATTGTCGCATCTAAATTCTTCCCAGTCCCCGAAAAGCCCCCTGGTCAGTACCCGCTGTGCGAGACCGACTATTTTCGCCGACTCGACTTGCTCTGCTTCGAGTGCGGACAGGCTCTGCGTGGCTCCTACATCACTGCGCTCGACCGCAAATACCACATTGAGCATTTCACCTGCTCCGTCTGCCCCACCGTCTTTGGCGCGTCCGACAGCTACTACGAGCACGAGGGCAGTGTCTATTGCCACTACCACTACTCAACCAAATTTGCCCAGCGTTGCAATGGCTGCCAGACGTCCATCCTCAAGCAGTTTGTCGAGATTTTCAGAAACGGCCAGAATCAGCATTGGCATCCGGAATGCTACATGATCCACAAGTACTGGAACGTGCGACTCCACTCCACCGGTCAGCCTGTCATTGAGCATCTCCACGAGGCCGATAAAGATGCCACGGATGAAGTGCGAGAGACTGTGCGCCAACAAGAGGAGGAAATTGAAGCAAAGGTCAACTGGATCTGGAAGACCTTGTCGGCTTTTGAGGAGAAGTCGGCCACGTGCATCTCCGACATGCTTCTCCACGTGAGCAACGGAGCCTACGTAGACGGCGTCATGGCAGCGAAAAAGTTTATTGTCCACATCGAGTTGCTATTTGCTGCTGCCGACACGCTCGACTCGCAATTGGTCGTCCGAACCCCGAAAGGTCTGACATACTCGCGCGAATCAAAACTTCTCTGTAAGAAGGTGGTTGCTTTTTTCGCGCTCCTTACCCAGTCCCAGGGTACCGGTGTACGTCGGCTGGGTGTGACCCAAGAATTGCTGTCCCTGGTGACTGGTCTCGCCCACTATCTGAAGCTCCTGATCCGTATTTGTCTGCAGGGAGCTCTAAAATTAGAGCGCGAAACCCGCACCTCTACTGGCCTGACCAACTTTCTCACCCAAGTTAATTCTCTTGACGCACGACTAGAGGAAGAGTCCCAAAAAGATCAGGCGGCTGAGTCTGCGCGTCTGGTCCCAAGATGGGCTGACGCGTGTCCCATCTGCGACGCCCAGGTCGAAGACAAATGTCTCCACCTAAACAACATGTCGTTCAACTACAGTTGCATGGTCTGCCGTGGCTGCAACGCTGACCTCCGACATGACCCTCGCAATGCTTATTGGATTCAATCCAAGCGAAGCATCCTCTGTCCCGCTTGCGCTGCCGCGAGTGCGGACGCGGAAAAGGGATTCGAGCAAGTCACCAAACTGCGCCAGTACGTTCATCTACTAAATGTGGCGCATGCCCGCCTCATGGCTACTCTCCGTTCGAGCGGCGCATTGCCTCACACCTCAGGTAAGAAAAGCCTCTCCGCGACCGACCACCTCGTCACCACTCATCTTGACACCTCGACTCAGATTTCTGGAGCCGCTATCGAGATTACGTTCGTCCCACTAATGACTTGTAGATGACCCCAACCTAGCCGGCTATGACTCTTCACAAGGCCATCGTCTGGGAGACGCCGATGCGGATTCTCAACCGGCCCACTTGCGATCAGACACACGCTCCAAATCCTATGGTGGAACCCCGACCACGGAAAGCCAGGTCAGCCAAAATGCCGCCTACGAACAATCAATGTCGGACATCAAGCGTCTTAGGTCGACGCGTCTCGACAAGCACCTCTCCAACACCATGAAGCGTGCACGTGCGTCGCGCATCATTGACGGTCCCGAAGGACTTGATTCAGCTGGCGGCGAGGGTCAATTAAGGGGTGGAATGCACATTGTCCAAGAGGGTCAAGGAAACGAAACTGATGCTGTGACCCTCGCCGTCAATTCCCTTGCCTTGGACGACATTGCGCGTATGGCTGCCCTGGAACAGCAGCGAGAACAGCGACCCAATGCTTTCCGTGCTGGTGGCAGTGCGCTACTCGGTCAAGGCGAGCAAGGCAGACTGCAGACCGGCCATCGCCGAGACTTTTCCGGTGGTCAAGAACTACAGCAAATGAGTGAAGGCCGCTCGCGAACATACTTTTCGGAGCTTTCGCCATTAGAGTATTTCAAGCTCAAGGGTCTGGCTGTCCTTCAGCTCGGACTCTTGCTTGATGACAGCCAGTACAACCAAGGCGAACTGCTCGACCTGATTGAATCGAAAAAGAACAACTTTTGGGGCAAAATTGGGTTTGGTAAAGCTTTCAAAGGCGACAAGGCCAAACCAAAGAAGAACGTCAACAGCGCCGTCGAGAAGCCCGTTTCGGACAAGGCGACGTTTAGACAGTCTCTCGAATATCTGGTGGAAAAGTTTGGTGATGAGTGCACAGAGGGTGTTGGACCAGGTGCTCTCAAGGTCCCAGCTTTACTACAAGACTGCATCACTGCGATGCGAAACATGGACATGTCTATCGAGGGTGTGTTCCGAAAGAACGGCAACCTCAAGGCTCTGCGCGAGCTTGAGGAGGAGATTGATGCCAATGGAGTGCAAAAGGTTGACCTGAACAACAAGAACCCGGTCATTCTCGCGAATCTTCTGAAGCGCTTCCTTCGACTAATGCCAGAGCCTGTCCTGACATTGAAGTTGTACAGATTGTTCATGGTAGCCAATGGTAAGTACTGGCGCTAGGAGTATATTCTAACACTCACTAACTCGAATAGACATCGAAGATGAAGCTCAAAGAAAGAAGGTATTACACCTCGTGCTCTGCTTACTACCCAAGGCCCATCGCGATACCATGGAGGTACTGTTTTGCTTCCTGAACTGGGTTTCGTCCTTCCACACTGTCGACGAGGAGACGGGTAACAAGATGGATACCTGGAACATTGCCACTGTCATGGCACCCAACATTCTGCGCGAGAGTAACGATAGAGAGGTGAAGAGTGTAGACCAAGGCGCGGTCAAGGTGGTGTTTGATCTCATTGAGAACAATGACGAGTTTTCCGAGGTAAGTAACTCTAGCTGCCCGGCCATTCCGCCTTTCTAACTCCATGCAGGTACCTCCAGAAATTATGGAACTGCTAAGCGATGAGACATCTGATATGAGCGCAAAAGAGATTATGCGCCAGTGGGAGCAGCGTGGAAAGAATCCAATCGCCGCTCCTAACCAAGCACCAAGAGACCAAAACGGCACAGCGTCAAGAAAGGACCAACGCAATGCACCTCAGATCACTACAGCAGATAACAATCCCTCGGTCCAAGCAGGCGAGGCCGTCCGCCCAATCGCAGGAGCAGGCGGCCAGGTTCGCAATCAACACAGCCCAGCCCCAGGGCCTGATAGAGGCCAACCCAACGCTGGCTACGGGCCAAGCCCACAAGCATCAACAAACAGCCACCGGACTGCTTCGCCCCACCGGAACAGCTACCGCCCGCCGGGCTTCCAAAAACACACACAAGTCGGCACAGCAGGTGCCGGATAAGACTCAATGACTTCTTTTTAAAGCTTCCTACCCGGAGTACGTGGGCGTTGGTTCTCTCCACCTTTATTTTACGGCTTTGAGCGAAAAAGCATACTCAACTGAGCGGCGATACTATTCTATACCCCCTGGTCCCCCCACAGTCTACGTCATGAACATCTAGACTGGCGCCAGAAATCCTCTTTTATGCATTGGTTTTTTTGGTACAAAGTTTGATGATGACTTGTTCTTTTTTTCTTTTTGATTGCATTCGGTTGCATCGTGCGTGTGTTGATCTCTCTGTGTCCATTGTGTGTCTGTGTCCGTGTTGCATCTTTTGCGGCACACCTCTTTTACTTTCGAAGGGAGAGAGAGTTTTTGTAGCATTGGTATAGGAGTTTTTTCTGGGTAAATTCAAAACGTACAAACATACGTTTTTTTGCTGGCGGCGCTTGAACAAAAGAAAGGCTTGTCCAGCTTGGAGGAAAGGGGTAGAAGGGTATGCGAAACGGGGGGGGGAGGGCAATTGGGGTTGGGGGAACTGTGAGCATCGTGTTGCGAGTGAAGAGGGGAGGAGGGGGGAAAGCCACGGAAAAGCGTAGTACTCAAACTTTTTGTGTTTTTCCCTCGTTTCCCCCAACTGTTGATACATAGATGAAAGCTTTTTACTTGAGCAATTATCCCGATGGTAACAACGCTTCTTGCTCATCTTTTACATTCGAGTTCTTTTTCTTGGGTTTGCTGTGCTTAGAATTCGTTGATACGTAATAATGTAATATAAATCTCTACTTTATATCCATGCACCCCATCCCTCCCCCGCTATCCATCTACTTGCGCACAACAAGAACGAAAAAGCGGGGGTAAACCAGTATAACCTTTCCATCCTTCAACTTCGGATACGCCTCCTCAAGCCTTCTCTCGTATTCCTTGAGAAACGCCGCTTTAGCCCCTTCATCCTCGATGCGATTTAAATACGGCAGCAACCCCGTTCCCTTGACCCACTCTACAATCGCGGGGGCATCAGCGAGCACGTGGTGATAATTCGTGCGCCAGATATTAACCAGACTCGCGTTTTCTACAAAGGCATTGTAGAATTCCGGGGGCCGCTCGACAGGGTCGAGGTCGGGCCTGTGTTCATCGCCCAGCTCGCCCACATGTGCGTCTGCAAAGTAAGAAGACCAAGGTTGCGAGGGGAGTAAAGCGATATCGCGCATGAGCGCGTGAGACGGTTCATGGTAGTTATCTGGCATTTGGAACGCGAGTACCGCGCCGGATTTCAAGGACGCGAAAAGGCGTTGTAGAGCGGGGATGCGGAGCGGAGAGCGCAGCCAGTGGAAGACTGCGTTGCTAAAGACGAGATCGGTGTTTTGCGCTACTTCAAAGTTGGATATGTCGCCGGGCACGAAATCTACGTGGGAGGCGGAGGTGCGGAATTCGTCGTTGGCGCGGCCCAGCATGTCCGGGGAGGAGTCCATGCCTGTCACGTGGGCGGAGGGGAAGGAGGAGGTCAGCACGTGAGTGCTGTTTCCCGGGCCACAGCCTAGGTCGTAGATGCGGGGGTTGGGCGAGGTGATGTGAGGGATGATTTGGGTGATGAGGTCGTAGACGGGGCGGGTACGCTCGTTGTTGAACTTTAGGTATTGGGATGCGGACCAGTCCTTGGAATTTGCCTGGTCTTGGGTTGTAGGAGGTGCGGCAGACATTGTGGGTGGCGTAGTAGTTAATTGACGTGCTTGGATAGTGTTTTGAATTGGCGTCTTTGATCTGGTGCTGTTGTGTTGTGCCTTTACTTTGTTATATAGTTGCTGTGATGTTGATGCTACCGAGATGCTGCGGCGGAAAAGTATCCGACTTGCCGGATAGGAGGCCGTGATGTGCAGAGTTTGCCTCAGTGGGAGAACGCATTGAGACATTTGGTGAGTTGTTTTCCTGTGGTTTACAAGTCACCAGGTTGGAGATTTTTTACTGGGTTGCGGTGGAAGGCTGGTGATGTAAACGCGGAAAAGCATCAGCGCCCGCGGAGAAGAGTAGCGGAGTATGTCGTCCAAGGGCGCTAGAGATGGGATAGGTTAAACTATATTGGGGCTAGCGCGAAGCTGTTCGACTACCCCATTGTATGTCTTTTCTTGACTCAAGGAAGCATTATTGTTGGCTCTTTCGGGTATCGAAGTCTGCCTGGATATTTTCAGTGAAAAAAGGCAACAGGCAACACCTTGATTGCAAGGGGCGAGGATCGGCACTTTTAACTTGGTTCCACAACGTCTCAGCCCCAATCCTGTCCGTAATCCAGCCTGATGGGCCGTAAGCATGCCGCTGCGGCAGTGTATGTCGGTGACCGAAAGGAGCTTCTATCTTAAGAAATTCGTATCCAATCAAGGTTAAATCCAACATCTGATCGAGGCGGGAATGGGCCACATGAGCAGATCTAGGATACATCTTGCTTGTCAGATACTAATCGAGTTTCTCGCTACATGATACCCTACATGACTCACGAGCATGATCGTAAAATACATCGATGATTCCCTGATATGGTGTTGCTGATGTCAGACGGGAACCTCACAGTAGACGGGTAGATAGAAGGCAGACGAACGACGAGTCATCGGCTCCGTGGGCCCACCCCGCCCTCGCCCTCGCAGCTAACATGCACAAAACAGCCCAAGAGGTCGGAAACGGAAAGAAGAGATGCCACGTGCTCGCGAATCTACGCCGCATTATGCATTAGATCGCGGGAGTCGATCATTCTATTCAAGGATCACTAGCTGCTGCATCAATTCCCAACAAGGGATCCCTTGCGTTTTCGATAGCTGAACCTTACTTCGCATCATACGCTCCCGCCCGCGAGTAGCCTATTGAGGGATTGGCCGAGAACCAGGATGACTGTGTAAGATTTGGGAATGGTTTGGTGGTGGTGAGAAGTGGCAGCCTGACCACCAACACCGGGCTTTCTCAGCCCCAGTGGCCCCGTTGGGGCTATATTTCTTGGTATAGATTCCAGATATAAGATCAGAGAAGTATCAAAGGGATTTTGTTCATTTATATTATTGGCTACTTGCAAAAGTTTGCGAGATCAAAGAGAGGTCTCTGATTTTGCTGTCTACAATCGCCTTGTCTTTTAGTTCATCTTCGAGCATCTCCATCATGTCTCCGACAATACAAAATTTCGTTCCCCCGCTCAACTTATTAGTTTGGATCCCAATGCTCTCCTTCATATCTCTTGTGGCTTGGGTAGTCTATGCTAGGTTTTTTCATCCATTGGCTAAATATCCGGGACCGTTCTTTGCCTCCATAACTCGTCTTTGGCACATCATCGATGTGACTTCGGGCAGTTCAGATAAGACACAACGGCAACTCCACGAGAAATATGGTAACTTCGCATCACCAATTCTCAAAGACATCATAAAGACTGACAGTCGTAGGACCGATTGTTCGGATAGCCCCAAATGAAGTTGCTATAGCGGACCCAGAAGCCATCCGGACTATCTATTCTGCGCAATCAGGCTTTACCAAGGTAAACACCCCAGCTTCATCTTATCGCATGGAAACAATACTAAATCATATAGACCGACTTCTACCTTCCTTTTCGAGCAGACTGGGCCAGATACCCAGACGCCTTTACCAACTTAGATGAGCGCCAACATTCCGAGAGACGCAGAATCGTCAATTCAGTCTACTCCATGTCAAACATCATCCAGCTCGAAGAAGACATTGACAGATGTGTGCAGCTCCTTATAGCCAAATTCACAGACCGCGCCATGAAAGGTTCAATTATCGACATGTCTGAATGGGTACAATGGTACGCTCACCTCCTCCTTCCCCCTTGAAACCCCTGAAACTCACAGCAAAACAAAAAGGTACGCCTTCGACGTGATCGGCAAACTCTTCTTCAGTAACCCCTTCGGCTTCCTACAAAATGCCCACGATCATGCAGGCTACATTCACGCCCTCGATCTCCTCATCCCCTTTATCACAGTTGCCTGTGTCGCTCCTACATACCTACGCCCCCTCGTCCTCCTCAGCGGTGCCGCCATTCCGCGCGTACTGAAAGCACTCAAGGCCCTCAAGCACATCGAATCTGCATCCGAAGCGTGCGTGGAGCAGCGCGAGCATCTCATTGCGAACGGCAAAGCAGAGGAGTGCGAGGATATGCTGCAGAGTTTCTTTACCATTATGCAGGAGAAAGGACAGGAGAAGGATTTTGGGATTACAGAGGTGAAGATGGAGGCGTATGGGGCTTTGTGAGTTCATCTCCCTATTTACTAAATGTTTTGTTGTAGTGTAAGATGGGAAAGGGACTAATTGGAAATAGTATTGCGGGCTCCGACACCACCGCTGCAGCGATAACGTCGATTCTATACCACCTCATGCGCACGCCGTCAGCATACGCTAAGCTCACTGCTGAAATTGATGAGGCGGAGCAAGCTGGGTTGCTCAGCCAGGATATCCAATACCACGAGGCGGTTGGGCTGTCGTATCTCATGGCTTGTTGCAAGGAGGGGATGCGATTGCATCCTAGTGTTGGTATGACGTTGCCTCGTCGTGTCCCTCAGGGTGGTTGTGTCATTTCGGGACAATGGTTTCCAGAGGGGACGCGGGTTGGTGTCAACGCGGCAGTCGTGCAGCGTGATCAGGGTGTTTTTGGGCACGATGCGGATGAGTTTGTGCCAGAGAGGTGGTTTAGGCCTAATGCGGCGAAGATGGAGAGGTGTATGTTCCAGGTTAGTTTTCTCCCTTTCTTTGCGGTTGCGAACATTGTGGGCTGACATTGTGAATAGTTTGGTGGTGGCTCAAGAACGTGTATTGGCAAGAACGTAAGTTTTACTTTTGTAGAAATTCAAGTGATTCTGCTAATTCGGATAGATTTCGCTCTGCGAAATGTACAAAGTCATTCCATCGCTTCTTCGCTCGTTCGACCTACAACTTTCAGAACCGGACAGAGAATGGGAAACACGAAATTACTGGTTTAACAAGCCAAGTAAAGTGTACACGATGATACGATGCAGAGATGTAATCTTCCAAGGACCCCCCTGAATAATTTTCTATATTCCCAATTCTAACAGTTGATCTTCAATCGTAATACCCAAACATTCCTAATTTTACAATTATGTCATCTTCGAAGTGAATTTAATCAAACAAATTCCACTCTTGCACCGCAGTTTTCATGGCCTGCATTTCTTCCTCCTCTTTGTCGTTCTATTTGTCGTTCTCTTCGTTGACCTCTTCGTCGACCTCTTCGTCGTCCCGGTCATCGCCCTCTTCCAGATTCTCCGCCATATCACTCAACAACTGCATAGCCTTCTTCTCCTGGACCCTCTGCTTCATATCCTGCAACCACCTATGCCTCGCAAACTTCTCTCTAAACGCCACCCCCATTGGCTACTTCTCGTTATCCTCAGCCTTTTTCTGGGCCGCCCACTCCGCTTCACCGCCAAACTTCCAGACGCCAATTTCGTTGGAGAGACGGTCTAGGAGGGAAATCAGGCGTTCATAGATCGGGACGTGCATGTTCAAGTGTATGCGCTCAATGGCTTCGTCGGGGTGGTCGTCGCCGTTGACAGAGTACTCCTCCTCCTTGAGCTTTTCAAACGCCTCCCAGCATTCGAGGAACCCGTTGAGCCATGGCTCACCAGGGTTACGGCTGCGGATGTCGTAAAAGTGTGTCTCCATGGTGATGCAGCGCCGGAGTCTCCATGCGAGGCCGTTTTGTCCCCAGCGGAGTTCGGCTACGGGGATTTCTTTTAGGAGTAGCTTTTGTTAAAGGTGGATTAATTCTATAATTTCCTTTGTGTCACGAAAGCTCTCACCGAAAGTGTTATATGCTGGTTTAAGGTCTTCGGGAAGGGGTAAACCTGGCTTCTTCGAGAACAGCGGCATAGTGATTGAGAACCTCTTTAGTTTCAATCGTCGAGTGTAGCAGTAGGAATTTGTAACTAGATGATTTAGTAGATCATAGGCGAGTGTCTGGCGTTCAAGCTGAGTAAAGGTCGAGTAAGGCAGTATTTATACAAGTATTTCCGAGAGATGCATACACTGTGGCAATGAACCGTGTGAATGATCAGAGAGGAATTTACAAAATCGGTACATTCAAAATGTCAATGTAATGTGTAACTAGAGTGCCGTGAAACCACCCTCAAAAACGTGAAGATGACTTTCATATCTTTGCGCGATCCCCGTGATCAGCATTCACCAGGACATATCGGTACCTAGCATGACCGTCCTCCATATCGACTACGGCCTGGTTCGCATCCTTCATGTTGCGCTTCTGCACCCACGGCTTGATTCCCTTCTCCGCAGCAAACTTCAGCATCTCTTCAATATCCCTGGGACTGCCAATCTGGCTTCCACCGATCTTGCAGCCTTTGCCAATCAAGCCAAATGCAGTGATTGCAGGAAGCTTGTCTTCTGGCGCGCCGACTTGGATGAAAGAGCCACCTGTACGCAGAAGTCGCAGATAGGATTCTAAAGGCATATCTGGAGATGAGACAGTACTGATGATGAGATCGAGAGTTCTGCTATGCTTCCTTGCCCATTTTTCATCTTCAGAAGTCGCGATATAATTTGTTGCGCCCATTGCCTTTGCATCTTCAACCTTGTTCCTCTTCCTGCTGATGGCGACAACTTCTTGACAGCCCATCGCTTTTGCAAACAATATGCCAAAGTGACCAAGCCCACCAATACCAATGATTCCGATTCTCTTGCCAGGTCCTGCGCCATTGTTTTTGAGCGGCGCATACACAGTGATGCCTCCACACATCATGGGCGCTGCATCCTCACTCCTAAGCCCTGCGGGTATCTTGATGGCAAAATGCGCAGGTACACGAACGTAATCGGCGTAACCGCCCATGCTCCAGCTACCGTCCGGGTACTTTGAGTTGTACGTGGCTACCATCTTGGTACAATGTTGCTCGATGCCTGCGCTGCATTCTTCGCATTCGTCTCTTAGACAGCTAAAGGCCTGGGCGCCTACACCGACCCGGTCGCCCAGATTCACATTCTTGACTTTTTCTCCAACGCGAACAACATGACCGACAATCTCGTGTCCGACGCATGTAGGATAGTGCGTAGTGCCCCAGCCAGAGCGCAGCGTGTGAATATCGCTACCACATATACCACAATGCGAGACCTTGATGTCGATATCGATGTCACTGAAGGGTTTCGGCTTGAAAGAAGACCATGTCATTTTTCCTTGAGCGGCGCTCTTGTCATGACCCAGCCATCCTGTAAATTCAGCGGGAGACGTCATGGCGGTCGCGTGGAGGTTTGGGAGAATTTGGCGTGATATGTGCGTAATTGCGACAATGAAATATTTGAAAAGTATGGAAAAACGTTGATTGGTAAAGACAAAGGAAAATGCTGGGCTTCGGCAATCGTTGTCGCAACGCCAACGCGCTCCGAACCGAGCATCGCCCGCGTCATTGTGCTGGAGAACGACATCCGAGGCATCTTTGGTAGCGCAGCGCGTCGCAATTGAGGGGTCCCCGGGCTTAGCGTTAACTCCGTAGCATTGCACGTGATACTGTTTTCACTGTCACTGGAAAGGCACAAGCACATTGTGAACATTAATCAATTTTCGTTACACGTTCCAACTCCCTAAGAAATATATCGAGAAGAAATCCCACTCAAGTCTACGCTCCCTCCGCCTTCTCTGCCCCCTTCACCTCTGGCAAAAACCTCGACTTCGCTGCTGCCTTTGCAGCAAGCTGCCCAATAGACTGTCCATTCGTAAAATCGAAAACCGAAACATCAGCTCCAATTTCCTTTGTCATCCACAACCTGAGTTCTACAGCAACAAGGGAGTCCACACCATACGCATTGAGTGACCTATCAGCGTCCAATTCTTCCAAGTCGTAGCTGAGCGTCTTGGTAAGTTGGTTCAGCAACGCCTTGAGCACTGTCTGCTCTGCTTCCTCGAGCGATGTCACTGCAGCAATGAGATCGGGCGTCGATCGTGTAGATGAGCCCCCGTTTCCAGACGATCCATTACTATTGTCTGCGCCGTTGCGAAGGACCATGTGGTTATACATTGGTTCGTGCTGCCAGGCTGGTTGCTCAGCGCCTTCATCTGCAGTGTACCTCGGGAGCCAGAATCGTGGGATTGATTGGGCTTCCTCGACGCTGAGTTTCGTGCCGGGGTGGCAGTAGTAATCGAGCGTTTTGACGAGTTGCTCAGAGGACATGAAGGCGAGACCGGTCGAGAGGAGGTAGGATCTTAGTGCTGGTCTCTCGGCGACCATGCCGGCGTCGTCGAGGACTGGAGCGGCGAGTGCGACGACGTTGTGGCCTTGGGATGCCAAAGACCTGGCCATGGCGTTTTGGTAAGAGTTTCCTGCGCAGTAGTTTACTTGGCCGCTCATGCCGATGTTGCCGACGAGGGAGGATAGCATGATGAAGAAATCGAGGGTTTTGCTGGTTGAAGTGAGGATGTCCCAAAGGTTTTGACTTCCTTTTACTTTGACATCGACAGCCTGGTGCCATTGTTCCGCGGTCATCTTGTCAAAAGCGTTGTCCTATAAGTCGAGACATGTTAGTAAAAGATCTTTCAATATGCCTTTGGCGATGCTGATCAAAAGGAATGAGAACTTACAGCAAAAACAGCAGACGACTGAATGCATCCACGAACTGGTGGCATCTCAGCCAGAGCCTTGGAGATAACCTTCTCCAACTCAGCCTTATCCGTGATATCACACGAAGGAGTAGCAATCTGAATGCCATTGCCCTGCAATTCAGCCACAAGTGCCTTGCTTGCCTCATCCGAAGGACCTCTCCTCGAAGGAACGATCAGATTCTTAGCACCAGCCTGCACAAGCCAGCGGATGATTTCCAAGCCCAGCCCTCCAAAGCCTCCAGAGATAACATATGTAGCGTCATTCTGAAGCTTAGCAGCCTGCTTGGGCGGCTGAATAACCCGAACGACATCCTCGTCATGATACTCAATCACCAGCTTTCCAATATGCTTGGCAGACTGAATCAGACGCATTGCCTCTTCCATCTGCGAGACGGGGTAACTCGTGATAAGCGTCTTAATTTCGAGATTACGACCAAGCGTATCTTCAATCATGTCTGCCCAGAGATTACCAAGTCGCTCTGGGTCGGTCCTCCACATGTACGCCAACTCGAGTGATTCGAATCTCACGCCTCGGGCAAAAGTGGCCATGGAGATGCGAGCCCTAGATTCGATGTCGGTTAGCCCAATCTCAGCAAAGGCTCCGAATGGCGCAACGAGTTCCCAGCTGGCGCGAAGGGCATCGCCAGCAAGACTGTTGATTACGATGTCGACTCCACGGTTGGCCGTCATGCGCAGCACACCAGTCTTGAAGGTCAAATCGCGGCTTGAGAAGATGTGGTCGCGCTGGATCCCGTACACTTTTTCAAGGAGATCGCGCTTCTCAATACTTCCAACCGTGACAAAGATTTCTGCTCCCTCACGCTGCGCCAGCTGGATAGCAGCTTGGCCAACACCACCCGCAGCAACATGAATGAGTACAGTTGGCTTCTTGCCTCGTTTCGTACGCCTGGCGAGACCGCCAATTTCGTAGAGACAGATCCATGCTGTCAAGTACACAACTGGAATGATGGCAGTCTGAGCAAAAGACAAGTTGTCAGGGATCTTGGCGAGAATACTCTCGCCAGTCCGCGCGTAAGTAGTGAACGAGCCATCGTACGTAAAACCAAAGACCCGGTCACCTGGTTTAAACCGCGTCACTCCTGATCCTACGCGAGTGACTATTCCCGCAGCCTCGAGACCCATGGCTGACTCTGAGATCATGCCAAGCTGAATAGCTAGATCCTTAAAATTCATACCGGTAGCTTTGACTTTGAATTCTACTTGGTCTGCATTCAGAGGAGCAGCGTATAAATGATCAGTAACGAAGCACGATGAGTTCAAGGATCCGATTTGCTGGACCTTGAGGCGCAGGGGACGCGTTGGGTCCGCCCCGAATGCCATTTCAGTCAGGCTGTTATCAGAGATCTGGCCGACGTGCTTTGTCAATGCGGGAGCTTCGATGAGTCGTGCAATCATGATAGAGCCGTCGATGACCTTGTACGATGTCTCGTATGCACCTGTGCGGTGCGAAGACAAGCGTGTATCGACCTCCAAGATCTTGCTTGCGATGTTCTCATCACCTTCCTCGGGTTGGAAGGTAAGAGTGACGAATTCCAGTTTTGGAAGATCAAGACGGATACTTCCAGCGAAGCCAGTGACGAGATCCGTGTCGGGAGACTCCTTGTTGGCCCATAGCAGCCGCTTTCCGCCTACTATCTTCTTCAGTGCTGATAGTACAGCTTGGTCGGCGGTAGCGAGCAGTGGTTTCTCTAGTTCTGGAAGCATGATGCAAGCGCTATCAGCGATTGCCTCCTGGTCAGCTGTCGTCGCTAGTTTCTCGTAGTCGGCGAGAGCAATGATCTTGACAGCCACGCCGTTCTCTTTCAACGACGACTCCAGCTTCTCAGCCACCTTTCGCTGTTTCTCAGACGCCTGATCGGCTACAACATAATAAGTCTTAGGCTTTACTACCGATTCCTTGCTGTCAGTGGCAGGAACACTAGCAATCAGAACCGAAGACTTCTTGTCCCCAAACAAAGCGCCTCGTTCACTGAACCCCTGCTGAGCAAGATACTTGGCCCAGCTCTTCGCTACAGCCTTACCGAATGGTACCGTAAGAACGATCTTGCCGCCAGGCTTAAGAAGACTGTAGAACCTGCGGAGAACGATATCCATATGCGCGTTGGGAATCGCGCCCACAGGCGCTACAAGAACGTCATATGACTCGTATTTGAAGCCCTGGTGCATCGGCTCAGACATGATATCCAGGACCTTGGGCTGCACAAAACCTGCCGTGACTTTCTTCTGTATCTCATTGAGAGACGAGATA